GTCGATCTTTCCAAGGTTCTCATTGCCACAAACTCTCCAAATCATGGGGATTGAAAATCTCATCCATCCTGAGTTCAACTCCGATCACTGTCAAAACCCTTGTTTAACCTACGATGACTCCAGACTGTTTCATGATCAACCAAGATTAGTCGATACGCACAAACTGATCAGAAAACTACAGTTTCTCCAAATTAACCAAATACTTGGAATGTTGTGTTTATTATTATTTATTGTGAGGTAATGTTTTTCTATTGGTGGTCTGGTCTACAAGGCTACAAACATGTCTTCAAGGCCATGACAACATCCTAATGGTGTCCCTTGATTACAATCATATAATAGAAACTAAATGGGTTTGGCCCATTATGAGTATTTTCAAACCATTTGCCTTCTGGCTTCTATTGGGCTCTTCTTTTGGGCTTGGCCCACTGTTTTTGCACCCATTTATATATTGTTCCCATATAACTATAATCAACCATATAATCGTATAGTGTCATGTGATTGTTTTATGGTTATGTTGTAACTGAAAAAAAGGTTACGTTCTTACAAGATGTCACCGTATTATTTGAATGTATGCCCTTATATTTTCTTTTGAAATTAAACTAATGACCGACGTTTCTAACGGTTGAATTAGTCTTGGTTATTGAAATAAGGTTTCTTGTTTGAGTGGGCACGTGTTCAAATCCCCCTTTCAGTAGATTTCCATCTTTATAGCTTTAATTTTCGGCTTTTATACATTTTGGGGAAAAAATCGATGGAAAGAAGCAAGGAAAAGGGTTGAAACTTTAATGTTCCGATGCAGTGGAACGTAACCGACCAATTAATCTACCATGTTTATATAACAAATATTTATAACTTTCATCCGTACGTCACTGTTTGAAAATTCTGTTGGGTCGGCATATGTAATTATAAGGTATATGAATTGATTCCTATATGAAAACACGCCTTCAGACTTTTCAAACGGAAATCATGATTTCAAACGGGTCAAACAAAATATCCAATTTCACATAAATGTGTTGTAAGAAACAAAACCGTTAGGCCAAAGGTAACTGGGTTACCGATAGAACCCGGTCTTCTATAAAATCAAGAATTCAAACCTCACCAGATATGAAAGTGTGCATGAGTATTTGTCGTATATAAATATATTATACCTGAACAGACAAAAAATTGCATATCATATTAATCAGCAAACAACATGTTCTTTCTTATAACTTACGCTATGAGAAATAAGAACCATATTTCAGGATTTGTTTCTTAAACACAAAAGATTTGTTAACAATGTATGCTTATAAGACTCTCATAATTCATGTGCAAACCGTATTATTTTTGTTTGTATCATATTTCTATTCAGTTTTATCATTCAGTGGACCGAAAAAGCAAAACTTTAAGTAAAATAGTTTGATACGATTCTGTTATGCATTTATATTCTTAATCTTTTTGGGCAAATTCCTGTTAGATTTATTATTTAACAAACTGCATGTTACACATGCTGATTGTAAATATCCTGCTTGTTATTTTGTTAAACTCTACAGTTTGCAACGTTTAAAAATCTGAATGATATATAACAGAGTTTTTTATTAGTTAATATTATATTAAGAGTAACAAATCAATCTTGTTGCAAAACTTCTTATCTTATTTCCAAAATCTAATTGCTTTTTATAACATCTTAGGTGGTGTTTGTTTTTTAAGATGTGTTGAAGTCTGAAATTTTATTTCACTTCTGATTAGGAAGAGGTGGTGCTGAAATCTGGAATTTGAATCAATAATACTGTTTGTTTTTGTAAACTGATAAATGTCTGAATTTATTTAAATTATCTATTTTATTCATTAGAAAATTATAGTGTTGAATTTATGGATAAATTTATACAATTTCACATATTTATTCATCATCATTACGAAATTTACATCTAAATTATATAATTAGCATTCATTTTGAACGAAAATATGTCATTAACGGTATTTAACACATTTAAATCCTACTAGAATGCATCAATTGAGACAAGTGAGGATCGGTTTGGTAAGAATCGATTGAAATAAATGATCGATTAAGTTTAATTGATTGAGAAACGTCGTTGCTAAAAGTTTGGAGAACATTAAGAGGTTGGTTTACCTCTTATCAGATAAGAGGTAAACAAGACATAAGTACCTCTGAAAAATTGGAAAAACCAAACAGTCTGAATGACCCTACTTCTTAAAACAAACAAGGCCTTAATCTTAATATATAGAAGTACAATTGAACCTTATACAGAACTTGAACTAATATTGGACGATGAAAACTTAGAGTAAATTTAAATCTTTTTAGGATCTCATTGGATACAGTCCTCTGGAGTCTGCTCTTATTTATGTCAACACTTATCCCTTAAATTATCCTACAAGGCCTCGTTTTAGGTTCACGCCCACTATAAGCACATGCCGAGTAGTTTTAAGTACAATCTAATAACAAACGCCGTTTGCATGTGATAAGTCAAAAGACACAATAGAGAGGGTCCCCTTGTTGAGCGGGGCTTTTTTTGAAAAAAGGGGAGTGAAGGTTAGGGAAGGTCCCTTATTGATGGGGCATTTCAATCCCGTTTTTCTTTAGAAAAAAAAAAACATGTCGTCCTTCCTTGAAATGGAACTTTCATGTTGGCCTACTCATCCGCCACCCAAAAGAGTAAATGAACTACTGGACTGAAGACAATATTTCAACAAATAAGATCTGAGTGATAAGATACGAGTTAACGTAAACAAGTATTATTCACCTAAATCACATTTCCTACAAGATCAACCAGGCCTTTTAAGGGGCATAATGAGGTTTAGAGTAATGGATAGAAAGAACAATGCAAGGTTAGCAACGAAGCTCATAATGCATCTGAAAATTAAGGGTATGCAAAAAATCATCCGATCCAATTTAAACTGACGGATCAAAATCGGATATCCAATTGTAATCGGATCGGATCCAAAATTTCAACATCCAAATCGGATCGGTTGGTTCTTGGATAATAGTCCACCAATAAAATTGAGTCGATCCAATTCAATGACCAATTCCCCATCCAATTACCATCTAACTAATATTCAACTATATAAAATTATTAACATTTCACGATATTGTTTTTTAGTTAATATATATATATATATATATATATACACACATTTTCTTTTATTGAATTAAAAATATATATGGATACTTGATTGAAATGGTGGATTAGTTGGTTCAGTATTGGATCAAAAGATTGGACAAGTCCAATCCGATCCAATAGATCCAATAGTAACATTCAATGGATGGAACCGATCCGATCCAATCATGCAATAGGTTTTAATCGGATCGGATGTCCAATGTTAATCGGATCAGATGTCCAATGTTAATCGGATCGGATGTCCAATGTTTCGGATTGAATGGCAAAATCCAACATCCAATGCATAGAGAAGCAAATAAATTTCTTGCTTAGGGGGTGTATGAGATTGCTTGTAAAAGCTGTTTTTTAACTTATTTCAGTCTGATACCGGTGATAAGTTGTTTTTTGGTGTTTGGATAAGAAAAAAACTGTTTATACCGGTGCCAAACTGGTAATAAGTTGTTTTTGATAAGTTAATCATTTCTGACTTATGAAAAACTACTTATTACCAGTTTACAATTTTAACCATGTTTTATTTAACTCCGATTTGATACCACATAAGTTAATAACCATTTTTACAAAAAAACATAAGTTATTTTAAATAAGTAATCCCAAAAACCCCCTTAATTTTTATTTTAAAATCTTAATTTTTTTTTACTTAAATACATGATTTTTGTCATTCCTTTAATATTGAAATTGGTATGCCCAAAACTCATTAAATGTGGTGTCTAATATCTACATTATGTGCATTTATGGTATATTCCCATGATCCATACCAATGTAAGCCAACTTTTCAAATAACCCTTAAGATTCTAAACGGTTCTATATTTCTATTTTTAGCAGTGTTATTTCATCGTCGTATCATTATATATCGTTGTATAACCAACAATTCAAATAAATCTGAATTTGATTTAGCGACTTTGAATCAGGGTCATAGTACCAACATGATCATATCATATTACATGTCACCACATTGCTCGTAAACAGAAAAAAAATGAGTAAAAAATATGTTCGTTACATTTTCGCTTTAAGAAAACCATTAAGTAAATTTTGTATTAACAATCCGAAACTTATCATTATCGTGACAAAAAGTTTGTTGTACATCCAAATATCCTTATAATGGCATTTGGATTTTAAAATAAATGTTGACTAAGACAAAAAGTTTTCAGTAAATTAGCACTAGGACAAACTTGTCGAGTTAGAAAAAGTACGCTAAAAGCACTAATATAATTCCGACTTATATTACACGATATTTTGTAGATTGATGTTGTAGTTATTCAACAATTGATTTTGCTAAATATTTAGGGCATGTTTGTTTTTTCAAAATTATCTCTTAATACCTCTGAAGTATTCATTCAAACGTTTGAATATTAAGAACGTTTGTTTTATTTCTAAAATAAGAGCTTAAAAGCTCTGAATGTTCTCTGAAAATTTAAATGATTAACGTATTATTTAATACATCTTAATCCTAATCCGTCCTCTATCAAACGGTTCAAATTTTAAGTGGTAAAATTTCCATTTATTCACATATGATTAAGGTAATAAATAGTAAATTTATCTTTTGACTTGTGGCATGATAAACGTGTCCAATGCGGTACATGTGGATTGTGGGTATTTTTGTTATTTTATTATCTCAACAAATTAAAGTAAATAATTTGTGGTGTGTTCAATAAATCTTTAAAATTTGGATTTTTTTTTTTAAATTCCACCACAAATAAATACGAACCATTGATATTTATGTTTTCTTGAAAACCCATATCCAACCCACAAACCACCTTTAACCCCTCCTCCTCTTCCTCTAAACCTTCTCTCTCTCTCTGGGTAGGATATTCTACCTCCGTCAGCCACCGCCGCCGTCCACCACCCTTCACCGGTGTTCCGACGAGGGGTCAACGACCGCTGAGGACGATGACCCGAGAAACATTAATTTATTACCTATCGGAACACCCTGAGATCGTCAATTTCAGGTGGAGTCATACCCAATCATGGGGCTCCACGTGGTCTTTCCTTTTCACTTCCATCTTCACCTACGTTTTCCTTTCCCTTCTCCTGCACCTCCTCCTCCTCCCACGGCGGCGTCCGGTGCCGTTGGGACCCATTCCGGCGTTGCACTCCCTTTTCATGGCGTTAATCTCCGTCACCATCTTCACCGGCATCCTTTTCTCGGCGGCTGCGGAGATCCGTGATACGCGATGGTTCTGGCGACGAACCAAAACCACACCTTTTCAATGGTTCTTATGCTTTCCGTTAGGCACGCGTCCATCGGGTCGGGTTTTTTTCTGGTCGTATATCTTTTACTTGACCCGTTTCCTCCACACGCTCCGAACGTTTTTCGCCATCCTCCGCCGCCGGAGCCTCTCATTCTTCCGCCTCTTCAACCACTCCATCCTCATCCTCATGTCGTTTCTCTGGCTCGAATTCTCGCAATCGTTTCAAATCGTCGGAATTTTGATGACGACGTCCATCTACGCCGTCGTCTACGGCTACCGATTCTGGACCGCGATCGGACTCCGGAGCGCTTGTTTTCCGTTCGTTATCAATTGCCAGATGGCTTTACTGGCGTCCAATCTCATTTGCCATGTCGGAGTTCTTCTTCTCCATTTGAAGAAAGGTGGGTGTAATGGAATTGGAGCATGGTGGATCAATTCGGTGCTCAACGCTGCAATTTTGCTACTTTTTTTGAATTTCTACGTGAATAGCCACCTGAAGGAGCGGAGGAAGAACCCATCACCGTCGCCGGAACCCCATGATCACGGCGCTGCAAAAGGTAATGCTGTTCCCGCCACCGTGGAAGCCGATCTTATTGGTCGGGGCGACACCAAAGACAAAGACATCTAAGGTCTTTGGCCCCAATATTTCTTTTTCTATTTTTTTTTTGGGGGCGGTGGTGGTTCGATAAAATAAAATAAATAAACCCCCCCGCCATTAATAAAAAAAATATACTAATAATAAATAAAAAAGTATATGTAAAAATAATGTTAAATTATAGAATGAAAATGTAAAAAGTAAATTTTGATGATGATATATGTAATACAGAAATTACTAGACCGATATACATTTAGCAACGTGTAATGGCCCATTTAAGGTTTGTTTGTAGCAGTTTAATGGGACTCATAGCTTAATTAGTCAGATATACATGACTTTTTGTTAGTGACTTAATAATATAAAAAATTACTTATTCAGTAAGATTCTACGAAAAAGTTTTATGCAGAAAATTAAGTTTTCTTCAAACTTGTCTCTCACAATTAAATACACGCTTTATTTGATCTATGAAAAAAACTCTTGCAAAAAAGTTTTCTTAATCTATACAGACAGATTAATCCATAAAGAAAGTTTTATTTATGCATGGCTTAATGGAAAATCAATCAATAGCCCCTTATGGCTTGTTTGTTGGCAGTTTAATGAGCTTAATAAGACTCACAACTTAATTAGTTAGATATACATGACTGTTTGGTAATGATTTAATGATATAGAAAATGACTTATTCAGTAAGATTCTAGGAAAGAGTTGCAGAAAGCCAATTTTTTTCTAAACTTGTCCATCTCAATTAAAAAAAACACGATTGTTGAAACAATCATACCAAATAAAAATCTTCCCTTGTAGAATTATATGACCTCAAAATGGAAGTCAAGTATATGTTCATAATTTAAGACTCCAAATGGGGTCTAAATTTTGATCATATTTTTTTTTTCAATATTAAGAATATTCAACTGAAAAAGTTATATATCAGATAATTGTACAATTTTATTGTCACATATTGAAAAGACAACGTTTGGTGTGACAATCTGTTATCAAATAAAAGCTAAAATTGATCGGTGAACGTGAAATTAAACATAAGCATCATGGCTCGATTTTTGTATAAATGGTTGAGGTAAAATAACGACAATATCAAGGCACATCAGTAGATGAAGTGTATTTGGTACCAACATTTGTTTGCTTGCTTGGATGTGATGCTAACTTTCTGTTGTTTAATTGGACGTTCGTTCTTTAGACTTTGGAGTGCTTCCAAAATAATTGCGTTCAATAACTTCTATCTGTTTTTAAAATAATTATACCAAAAATTAAGATTTATGTTCCTAATAACAAATTCACTTGATTTAAATCATGAATATTTAAGTAGTTTTGTATTTATTAAAGAAATCAGTTATGACCATGTATTTGTCTTCAGTATGTAGTCTAGATGCAAAGGAAGGGGTGTGACGACGTTGTCTATATACAAAACAACAGAAACAGCCACAAAAACAGCCAAAATGTTCTTTCATATTGATGTCTTTGAGGCAAGTCTCATGTGAAACCGGTTAGAATTATTGATAATTAACTTTTTGACCACATATAATCATGCATTGCATGTTTCTCAAAATCTAATTATTTTGATCAGAAATTACTATAAAACCAAAATATTTTTTTGCCAAATCCTCTAAAATTATAACTTCATAACATATTTATAGCTATGACATCTATTCATTATATGAAGCTTTTGGTACACCAATATCTACCATTTTTAACAAAACTTCACAACAAATTTTTGCTAATATATATGCATGTATGTATGTATATATAGAGGAACGATCAAATAAAAACCACTCCAATTTGTAAAAACCGTAAAAACTACTCTCATCCATCGTTAATCTTATGAAATTTTTTCATGAAAT